ATAATAAATAATAACAATAATCATAAAGATATCACATTTGTATATGGGTGAGCGGACGAACAAATGAATGAATGTACAAACGAACAAACGAACTAACGTTATACTGAGCCTGTTATACCCAGTCCCTACTGGGTGATCGACACACCGATCACCAACCGATTGCCCGATTCGTCGCCTGAAAACCTGGGAGTCAGGCAATCGGTTTGCGCCAAGATGGTGGCTTTGCGCCCTCAATCTGGCTAGCCCCGCCTACCAAACCGAACTGAACCAAAGCAAACCAAACCGAACCAAATCGAACCAAACCGATCGTGCAAATGGGCTCTGTGTATTACCTATAGTCCAGGTCATCGTCGGTAGTCCGGCTACTAGACAGTCGCTCCTGGCGCGGTGTGGGCGTCATGGCGCGCCGCTGTAGCTGGGCGAACATGTGGGCGGGGTCGGGCGGAGACTCCTGGCTCGAGTCGCTGGCCGGGGACGAGGCCTCAAGGCCACAGCTGTTGGCCAGCTGACCACTGGTCACTGCTGCCCCAGGGTTGTCTGTCTCCGGACGTTTGGTGGACTGGTCTGTCTCCTGGGAGGGGTGGGGAAAGGGATTTTAAGATTTCAAGTGTCGTTATTGATTTTATTGGCCTTTGTTTGTTTTAGTAAGGTTTTACGGCGCTCGCAACTGCATAAGGTCATATGAGCGCCAAGGGATGGATGTCAACAGAGAAGTCCAAACGGGGAATCAAGCTTACTCTGCTCACCTCTCTAGCCTCAACAGCACAAAGTCTGCTTCGACTATCAAGGCACCCCAGAAATAGCAGTTCACAAGAGAGTGACAAACACACAAAAGAAGTAGAGGAAAATGACGATAGTAAGGACGGCGAAAGAAAAAAGCAGCAGTTTCCCCTATGTTGTTCCGGCACAGTATGAGCGTGACATTGATAAATTAGCCCATTTGCAATTCTACTGAGCATTAGAACATGTCAGTATCCCCCCTTTGGGAAAGGCCTAAAGACAACTTCAGTCAGTAGCACCACCCCGGGAAGGTAAAGGCGTTCGGCCTATACATCCAAACAGTATAATATATGACTCGGAAAATACATAAATAGAAGCAGCACATCGGAGAATTACATAAATTGAGGACAATACTACTGAAGGAGGTAATACATAGACACACACACACACACACACACACACAGACACACACA